TGTTTCTTATAATTTGTCTTAATTCTCTATATATTTTAGAAATGAGGCCTTTATTAGAGAGACTGGTTGTAAAAATTCTTTCCCAATTTTCTACCTTCCTTCTAATCTTAGTTGCATTGGCTTTGTTTGTGCAAAAACTTTTCAATTTAATGTAATCAAAATTATCCATTTTGCTTTTCATAATGTTCTCTATCTCCTGTTTGGTCATGAATTCTTCTGTTCTCCATAGATCTGATAGGTAAACTATTCCTTGTTCTCCCAGTTTACTTATGGTATCAGCCTTTATATCTAAGTCATGGACCCATTTTGGCTTTATTTTGGTATATGGTATGGAATTTTGGTCTATGCCTGGTTTCTGCCATATTCTTTTCCAGTTTTCCCAGTAGTTTTTTTCAAAGAGTGGGTTCTTATCCCAGAAGCTGGGGTCTTTGGGTTTATCAAATAATAGATTACTATAGTCGTTGACTACTGTGTCTTGCATATATAAACTATTCCACTGATCTACCTCCCTACTTCTTAGACAGTACCAAGCAGTTTTGATGATTGCTACTTTATAATACAATTTAAGATCTGGAATTGCTAGGCCACCTTCCCCTGGATTTCCTTTCATTAGCTCCTTTGATATTCTGGACCTTTTTTTTTTCCAAATGAATCTTGTTATTATTTTTTTGTAGCTCTATAAAATACTTTGGCACTGAATAAGTAAATTAGCTTAGGTAGGATTGTCATTTTTATTATATTAGCTCAGCCTACCCAAGAGCAACTGATGTTTTTCCAATTATTTAGATCTGATTTTATTTGTGTGAAAAGTGTTTTGTAATTGTGTTCATAGAGTTCCTGGGTTTGTTTCGGGAGGTAGACTCCTAAATATTTTATAATGTCTACAGTAAGTTTAAATGGGATTTCTCATTCTATGTCTTGCCATTGGGCTTTGTTGGTAGTATATAGAAATGCTGATGATTTATGTGGGTTTATTCAATCAATCAATTATTGAGGGCCAACTCTGTGCCAGATGCTGTGCTAAAGACTGGGGATACAAAAAGAGGCAAAAGACAGTCCCTGTCCTCAAGGAGCTTGCACTTTAGTGGGAAAGATAACAGATATATACAAAGTAAGCCATGTACAGAATAAATAGGAAATGATTAACTGAGGAATGGCACTAGATTTAAGAGAGGGTGAGGAAGTAAATAAGAGCTGGAGAATGGCAGCTAGGGTGCTAGGGTGTTGTCCAAGGGCTCTAACGTAGAGAAGAGCCCATCATCAGCACTTTCAGTCCCTCAGTTGCACAGAAATGAATATTATATGACCTGATGTCATTTGTTCTCCTGGGCTTCTGTTTCCCTATCTATAAAATGAGGGATTAGATCAATTCAAGCTCTAAGATCTGTGATCTAAGCACTAGATCTATGAACCTATTAAGCGAGCTGAGTATCTACTCAGCAAGAGTAATTTTTTTTTTAATGGGAAGGTGTCCTTGCCCTTGCTGCCATGCCTCAGGTAGGCTCCTCCTCAGCCTTATCCTCCTCCCTTCTCCCTGTCCCTGTTTTCTCTAGAAGCAGCCTCCTAGCTTCTCAGAGTCTCTGTTCCCCTTCAATTTCAATTGATTTGAGAGCAGATTTTGGGCCACTTGTTCTGGGATGAGCTGACCTTAGCTTAGGCACAGAAGTTGTTAATTATGGTTCTCGTGGGAGAAAAATGGTCACTTCCTTCAACCCTGTCCCCTGTATGAGCTCTGATTTTCTGGTGGAAGTTTTTAGGATAACTGAAGTAAAAGAGTAGATCACATGTCCCTCATCCTTCATTTCAGCTCTGAGAAACTGTCACAGTATTTGTAGGAGACACTTATTCATTATTTTCTACTCATTAATCTTGTCTATTAATTTGAAATAGTGTGTTTGAAGTGTAACAGGTTAGTGAGAAGCCATATACAAATTAGTAGATTTAGGGGCAGCTAGGTGGCACAGTGGATAGAGCACTGGCCCTGAAGTCAGGAGTACCTGAGTTCAAATGTGGCCTCAGACCAAACACTTGACACTTACCAGCTGTGTGACCCTGGGCAAGTCACTTAACCCCAACTGCCTTAAAAAAAAAAAGAAAAAAAAAGAAAGACAAATTAGTAGATTTATCAAATCTAAATCCTAGGCCATTTCTTAGCCCAAGGTGAGGAACAGTGGAATTTGAGACAGGAACTCTTCATTCTTTGCTGTCACAAAGCAGCCATAATGACTGCCCTGTCTCTTCTAATCCAACTGAAGAGCTGGAATGATATCGTTAACTAAAAAAAGTGTTTTAATATGATCCAGTAAGGTTTCTTTCAGGGGGGCTGTGAGGTCAAAAAAGTTTCATAATAATACTAAAATCTTTTAAATTTGAACATCATAAATATCAATAGATATAAAGCACACACACACACACACTCACACACACACACACACATATCTCTTTTAGGTAGAAATGGGGTTCCTCATTTTTTAAGAGTGTAAGGGGTATCAAAAAAAAAAGACCGTAAGGTATTCTGAGACCAAAAAGTTTGGAAGAACTTGAGAACTACTAGAGTTTAGCAAATAGACAGAAAACAACTTGTTAATAACCTCAAAAGAATAGGGGCATGATGGCCTTAAGTGCCATTTTTTTTTTAATGTAGGCTACATGAGAGTAAGGATTGCTTCATTCTTTGTACCTGTATCCCTAGTGCCTAGCTCAGGGGTGGGGAACCTGAGGCCTTGAGACCACATGTGGCCCTCTAGGTCCTCAAGTGAGGCCCTTTGACTGAATCCGAACTTCACAGAACAAATCCCCTGAATAAAAGGATGTGTTCTGTAAAACTTGGACTCAGAAGGCCACACTCAAGGAACTAGAAGGCCACATATGGCCTCAAGGCCTCAGGCTCCCCACCCCTGGCCCTAGCCCAAGGCCAGTATATATCAAACTGCCTGCTGGAACTGCCCTTGGCCAGACTTGACAACTTTCTGAGTAAGATCTAGTTCTTTAAAATTGAGAATTGTTTGCCTGCAGCAGCTTCCCAATCATACCTGACATTTGTATAGCACCTGAAGTTCCAAAGTCTTTTATATACTTTATCTCATTTGGGTCTAAGAAAAACTCTGAGATAGAAGCAATCATTATGTCCACTTTACAGATTAGGGAACTGAGAAGTTCAGAGAAGTTAAATGACTTTCTTGTAGTTACACAACTGGTAAGGATGGGAGATGAGTTTGGTAGTATCAGTCCTGATTATGAATCTAGTTCTTTTGTACTATGTTACATTTTCTAAACTTGGGATCCGAAAACTTATTTTGTTTTTAATATTCTGGTCACTGGATTTCGAAACTTTTAGTTTTTTTTTTATTTTATAATTTTGTGTATTTTATTTATACTATGCATTTTAAAACATTTTTAGATAGGTTTCATCAGCTTTACCAGTCTGCCAATGGGGTCCATGACACAAAAAAAGGTTAAGAAACTCTGCACTGTATACTACGCATCCCTTTCCTCCCCTTTGATAAGGTGGTTCTTGAATACCACCAGTGTTAAGAAGGATTCCATGTTAAAACTGCCTCCCAGATAGTTTTAGTAAATTCTCCTACCTTGTGCCAAAGCCACCATGCCTTTGAAGTTGTAAATTTACAGACAAGTTCTTTGCTCATTGCCTCCTACCTGTAAGCAGTAGAGTGAAATTGTCCACTGCTACTACATCGCTCACGGTGAGTAAAATATATTCTGCAAAGCTGTAAACAATAATGATAATTAGCCTAATCATATGTCAACACAATGAGATGATGAAATAAAAACAAGATGCCAGTTACTTGCATGAACACTATGCAAATTATTTTAGTCTTAAACCATACTACTTGCCCATCCACTATATAGCTTGGGGACCTAAGTTTACATACTGTCAAAATGTGGTATTACATCTGGGATATGATATGTGGCTAACTATCTCCAGATAAAAAAATTTCAAGCCTTAGTGAAGTGTTCTTGTTGCCCTTAGAACATTTTTAGGGTTGGCACTGTGATATAGAGAGTACTGGGTTTTGAATTTGGAAGATTTGTGTCATATTCCAGCTTAGCCACTTAAGAACTAGAAGACCCTGGGTAAGTCACTTAACCTCTAGGATATGTAGTTTTTTTGTTTGTTTGTTTGTTTTGTTTTGTTTTGTAAAATGAGGGTATCATAAGGTTGTTAGGAAAGTCAGAGGTATAAAAAATACTTTTAAAACTTCAAAGGTATAAAATAGAAATCTGCTATTTAAAACTTGCTAGAGGTTCCCATATGTCTACAGAACAGATCTAAGAAATCATGTGAAAGATGGAGTTTTGATATAGACCAATATCAAACGCAGACCATTGCATTCAGTGTAATTGACATCTATATGGAGATTTAAACAACATTGATCTTAATGGGAATTTCAGATCTAGGAAACTGTCAATTTCCACATGAAGCAATGGACCATTTGGTACAGAGACTATTTATATGAACAGAAGTTTAGATTAAGAATAGCAGGCTAAGAATTTTCCTTAAATACAAGATGTGATCATTTGGTACATCCATGTCATTAAAATGGAATAACCTCACCATTTAATGAGATCCTTGTGACCATTCACACCAATTGAATCCATGCAATTTTCATGAGTTTCTTTCTTGTTTAATCTTTGAAGGTTAATATTTTATGGAATTTGTGACTGCTTTTACCCGTCTGTGTTTCATGCCAATGTCTCAATTTATAATTTCAAAGGCAGACAAATATTTCTTCAGTTTAAAGTATTCATCAGTGGCTCATTAAAAATTATTTTGAAGATAAGTATTACTATAGCTCATCAATAGGTTTCAGCTAAATATGGGAACTGTTTTGGGGTTGGGTTTTTTTTGATGGGGTTAATGCCACCATATCCCTTCCTCCAATAAATGATATTTTTCAAAATGATCCCAAGTCCATTCTAAAAAACAACAAATAAACAAAACCTTTTCCTGATGTACTCGTCTCCTCTTTTAATTGTAGGACCAGCCAAACCTAGACCCCACAGTGATGAATATTCCAAGAAGATTCCTCCTCCTAAGCCTAAGCGAAATCCAAACACCCAGTTAAGCACATCTTTTGATGAAACCTATATTAAAAAGCATGGGCCTACGAAGACTTCGCTGACGCGGGACACCTCCTTATCACAGGTGAGCAGTCCTGCTCTAGACGCTGAGGAAGAGGAGCCTGTGTACATTGAAATGGTGGGGAATATTTTAAGAGACTTCAAAAAAGAGGAAGATGACCAAAGTGAGGCAGTTTATGAGGAAATGAAATATCCTATTTTTGATGATGTTGGCCAAGAGTCAAAATGTGAATTGGACCATCACAGCTGCTCTTCTCAGTGTGCTACGCCCACAGTGCCTGACTTGGACTTCGCCAAGTCCTCAGTGCCATGTACTCCAAAGGGTTTGCTTTGTGATATCCCCCCTCCCTTTCCAAACTTACTGTCTCATAGACCCCCACTGCTGGTGTTCCCTCCAGCACCTGTCCAGTGTTCCCCCAATTCTGATGAGTCACCTCTAACTCCACTTGAGGTCACAAAGCTTCCTGTGTTGGAAAATGTGTCTTACATCAAGCAGCAGGCTGGGGCTTCTCCATCATCACTGCCATCTCATAGCTCTGGTCATCCCAAACCAGAGAAAGACCAGACAATAGCTCATGGACCCTCTTCTTCTTCCTCTTCTGTTCATTCTTCGTCACCTCCTCATCCTTCCACTTTATATAGAACACCATCTCCACATGGATACCCTAAAAGTCATTCTGCTTCACCTTCTCCTGTTAGTATGGGGAGGTCACTTACCCCCTTAAGCCTCAAAAGACCACCACCCTATGAATCTTTACATTCAGGAAGCATCTCAATAAGCTCTCCATCAGTGCCTCATGCCACAGCCAGAAACACATTACAGGAAGGAGGGAAGATGGTAAATGCCTCTGTCAGTACCTATGGGTCATCTCAGAGTGGCTCCCGCTCCAGAACACCCACAAGTCCTTTAGAAGAGCTTACCAGCCTCTTTACCTCAGGACGAAGCTTGCTGAGGAAGTCCTCCAGTGGAAGAAGGTCAAAAGAACCTGCAGAGAGTAAGTTTTCTTTTATGTTCTAAATACAATTTGAGTCAGCATTGGATTTTTCCTTTTACAAATTAAATCCAATACATACAAATAAATATGAACTTGGGTTTTAGCCTTACAGTTTTAGCCTTATCATGGGTAATATGGTAGACAGAGTGCTGGATTCAGAGTCAGGAAGATATGAGTTCAAATATGACCTCAGAAACTTACTAGTTGGGTGACCTTGGACAAGTCGCTTAATTGCTTTCTGCCTCAGTTTCCTCATATGTAAAATGGAGATAACAATAGCACTCATTTCTCAGAGTTGTTGTGAAGGTCAAATGAAATAATATTTAAAAAGCAATAACTTTGTATACTATCATTGTTTCAATATCACATAAAAAAGGAAATTTCCCTTTTTCAATGTTTTGAAGTTAGAAATTAAAGAATATTAAATTTACTTGGGGAAAACTACCAATTAAAATAATTACAATCCATTCCTAACTACTTTCTATGACATTTTACTGTCTTTCTGATATATCCATTCTAATTATCAATTCATCAACCAAGCCTCTTAGTCTAGCATGGAGATCAACATTTGTATCTGTTGCCCAATTCTCCATTGAAATGATGCATTTCTTCCTGAAAGCTTCAAGAAGCAACCTTAAAAATTTTTTTCTTTACCTGTAAAAAAGTCTCTTTGAAGCTTGAAATATGTGACTATTTATTTAAGACACTTTTTTGTGGGGAAAAATATTGTATAACCTCTCATGTTAATTTGTCTTAAATGTTTGTTACATTTTGTTTTTGCATTGCTTAAATTCCCTCCTATATCTATTACCCATAAAATCTTAATCAGAAAAACAAAAAAAAATTCTCATTAGTATTGTTTACAAAAATAAAGCCCAACTATTTTAAAGATAATAATGCATACTATACTGACTTGTCACCCTGTGCATGTCATTTAGCCTTTCGTTGCTACAGGAAACTAAGATGATAAAGAGCAGAGAAGGGGAGAACTTTCATTAATAGATGGGCTTACTTCACCTATACTAGTAAATTACAGGTCCCATTCCATATCCCAAATTCTCACCAAATCATGTGAGGAAAGTGTTCTTTCTCTTTCTTTTACTGTTTGAAATTTGAGGCATTGAAACTTAATTTTCCTTATCTGGAAGTTCCCTGTGTCAATAAAATCACAGGTTTAGTCTCTCTCTCCCTTTTCCTATGCAGTAAGAAAAAAATTTGCAAGTATTTGTTACACCAGAAATAACTGAATGAAGGAAATATTGGAGATGTACTGGGAGGTTGATCAGGGAATCTCTGGTCAATTTAGATTCCCAGCCTACTTGATGAAATTAGAAGATATAATGAGCGGGGGGGTAGGGTGGGGGGAGAGTATGACATAAGATATTACCCCTTTCACAGATTGAGGTCTTTAGGGTTAATCTCAACTTAAGGAAATTTAGAACTTATACCTACCTCACTGTCTCTGTTACCTGTCCTTTACATACTGAAATGTTATTTTCAATTGATCAATTTAATCAACCTTATATTCCACTTTCACAAAGATAGCATATAACTGTAGTCTTCACTCTCTGTCTTTTTCTACAGTGGCCCAGAACCCACTTCACTCTGGAAGCTCACTTCACCCCTGGGTTTGCACATTGGAAATACCTTTCCCCCCCCCCCACTCCCTCTATTTGGCTGTTCTTCTCATAACCAACATTTAAAAGAGTAGGCCCAGATGAACTATGTTTTCATTCCTTTCCAGGCTACACTCCTGACTATCTCCAAAGGTTTCCTACAATTCTCTGTGCCAGATATTTTCATCTCTTCCCACCACCCCCTTTCAATTTCCTTTACCGTGTTGTCTTCCCTTCTTAGAATGTAAACACCTTGAGGTGAGGAATTATCTTGTTTTATGCTGATATTTGTACTTCCAGTGCACAGCATATAGTAAGCATTTCATAAATGTTTGTTGATTTGTAATGTTATGTCCAGAATCCATAAAGAAAAAAAGAAAGGCGCCAGTGGAAAGAACACTGGCTGAAGAATCAGGAACTCTTGGTTTTAGTAGGTTTTGGTAGTAACTACACTAAGTCTCACTTTCCTCATTTGTGAAATTATGATGTTGGTCTAGACCCTGGATGATCTCCAAGGTTTTTGTTTTGTTTTCTTACTCTCCATATCCTATGCCTTTTGTACTAAGAAGAATTCAGCAGCAAAGAGTGGTCAGAAAAAAGACTAGTGATAGATCTAATCCTACTTTACTTCAACATTCACGGCAATGATTTAATCCTAAGAGATTACTCTCAGTAAGCCCCCCAGAAACAGTTTCTGTTCAGATAAGATACAGATGAAAATTTCAGACAATTACAAGACAGAGCTGCATTTTCATTTAAAAAGAAAAGAGTGGTACTACCAAATATAAGCAGAGGAAATCAGCGTGATAGAAAATATAATTTGGTCAAAAAATGATACTACGTGATCTATGAGAATACATTGTGTAAAGCCAATTTCCAAATGTTTTTTCTAATAGTACCACACATTTGCATAATTGGTTGAATATTTTTTCACTCTTCATGCATTTCCCTGGTGTTGTATTGACACAATCTAAGTAGTGAGATGGAGCTGAAGAAAATGTGTATGCAAACCACTTAAAATCTACAATTTACTTAAAAATTGATATTATGTGGATTTTACTCATGATCATCAGTTTGTGTTTTTTTGTCCTAGAGTTGGTATCATCTCTATTATTAAGATGTTATTTTTTTTGGGGGGAGGGTTGTTTGCTTGCTTACCTATGCACTTTAAGAGCAGGCCTTTGACCGTCCCAGCTGGCAGTTGTGCCCAGTAACTGGAAAATGTGTATGGATGAGAAATGTTGAGCTAATGAAATTATTTCAAGAAAAATCCATCTGTCAGATTCTTTGGAGCTTGGCACTTCACTGCCTTCTCTCATTGACTCCATAAAAGAACATTCTTCTCTTCTGAAGAGGCAAAGAGATTAAAAAGTCAATTGGAATCTGTTTATTTTTTCTTTTTTAACCTTTACCAACCTTTGTGTTCGATTTTCTACCCATTCCCAAATCATATGTTTAGGAATGTACATTCTGAGGCACTAGAATACCATTAAATTACAGTAAAATTAAAATTATATTCATAGGTGAAATGGAGGAAAAATACAGTGCAAATGAATATCCAATTAGCATTTACTTTTGAATTAATAATAACTCTAATTACTATGGTTCCATAAGTTATAAAAAGTTGTATTTGAGAATAATTATTATCCCCATTTTAGAGATAAAGAAATTCAAGCTGTACTAAGGTGACTTGTCCATGGTTATAACATTTTGTGATCACAAAATTAGAGCTGGGAATGGCCTCAGGTCATTTAGTCATAACATTTCATCATAGATAGCTAGATAGCTAGATAGATACATACATACACACACATACAAACATATATCTATATCTATCTATATCTATATCTATATCTATCTATATCTATATCTATCTATCTATCTATCTATCTATCTATCTATCTATCTATGTACTGACTCAAGTATTATGCTGGGATTTAAATCCATTTATCTTAATTCAATCCCCTTGAGTTTTTCCTTCATATGAAACAAAGAAACATAGAGTCTATTGGCTGGAGAAGTAAGAAGATGGGTGCCTTCTGAAACTATGAGCATTCCCACTTTTAGCTTGGCGCAGGTATTGGTAGCTTGGGACCATTATGGATGGGTAAAATCTCATATCAAAGGATCAACCCATTTGCAAATAATTGAGAATTATCTTCTGTTGCCCAGGAGATGATACACTCTTCCTTCATCCCCCAGTACCTACTTCCTGCTGGGTTAGTCACAGATATTTTGCAAGTATCAAAAAAGCAAATAAAACGCAGGCAATCGCTGTACACTCCAAGTTTCTTAATCCTGACCATCCAGAGCTAAAATGGAAGGAAATTTCCTCCCCCAACTCCCATTTTACTTATAGAAAATCATGTAAAGTGAACTTCACACCAGCTTACTTCCTAAACAGTTACAAAGATGTGCCTCATGCAGTCACTTCACAAGTTTTTCATCCTTTACAATTATTGACAAAAAGTTAAAGCAATAGGAAAAGAGGCAGCTAATTAGCAGTTCTAGATTATAAATCATTTCCTTTGTTTCTAAATTGAAACTTGAGATATTTTTCTGTGGAAACTTTACTTTTAAAATGCATATTTCCAAGGCATTCTGATGTTATTTTTGCAAATGCATGAATATTTATGAACAGTTGAAGGCATAAGAGAGAGTGGGTATCTATAGTCCATGTCTTGCTGGCTGTTGTATTGTTATTATGGTCAAGCATTCTTTAATGTTTCTTTCTTTTTCTTTTAAAATATCTGGTTAAGAGAAAATGAGAGAAAGCTGAGTAGGAGGAGTCAGAATGGTATTTTCCTTCTGTAATTTTGTTTATGATCAAGGAGATTAAATACTTATATTTTCAGAGCAAACTTTGCTGACTGAAGTGACAGAAATTGTTCATCTCATGCTGTGTTTTTCATCATTCCATGTACACATATAAATATTATCATGTTACTAAAGTGCTAGAATTGCAGGGTGGAGGAAACTGTTTCTGCCAAGGATCAGAGATCACAGTAGCAGAAATTTAGAGTTAAATGGGCATTCGGAGATGATCAAATCTACCCTTTCCTGCACAGATGAGAAAACTGAGAATGGGAAAATTAAGTAATTGTGTAGGATCACACAAATAATGAGCAAACCCAGTTCTCCAGACTTGTAATTTAATCAGTATAGGGTGTCCTGGTATGGAAATTCACTCCATCAATGAAGATCAGCAATCCTGAGAAACTGAAAAGTTGTCTCTCATTCAGGGTCACATAGATGTGTCAAAAGCAGGGCTTGGATCATGGTCTTCCTGATGCCAATGCTTGTTCTTTAGCAACTACATCATGCTGCCTCTTTAAAAATATAATCAAAATGCATAATACTATTTTAAAATTGTAGCAGGTATTT